GGTTCCTTTAAAGTACCCCTTCGTAGTACAGGGCCCCACATTAGGGCTTTTTAGATCCTTCCGGTGGTCTGGGTATGGAAGGAAATCATAGTACGGCCAGGTAGGGCTTCGGCAGTTTTATGGCTCATGGGACTCAAAAACTGGGGCCCACGAAGCGTACGAATAAGTTGACTGTACTCCTTCATTACATAGGACCCTAATTCTGGCACTTGTTATAAGACCCCAAACCCTGAAATCTTAAAACCCTGAACCCTTGCAACCCTAATTCTGGCACTTAGTACAAGACTAAGTCACATGAAGCTCCAAGTATTCCTTCAAAGGGCCCCTTGAAGGGGGTTCCTTTCAAAAGGGTTCCTTACAAAGGTTTCCTTCAAGGGTTTGCAATATCTGCATGACCTAAACCCTAAACCCTAAACCCCCTAAACCCTTTACCGTGGCTTCAATCCCTCGGGGTCGATGGGCACCGCAACACACCAAGGGCCCCCCCCAGGCTTTTGGGGTGTTCGGGCTTGTTCCTTGAGTTTAGGGGTTTAGGGGTTTAGGGTTTAGGGTTAAGGGTTTAGGGTTTAGGAGGGTTTTGCAGCTTAGAGATGCGATTGCACAGCTGGACCTTGAACCCTAAACCCTAAACCCTACACCCAAACCCCTTTCCAGACATCTGGGGCCAGGGTTTCTGCTTACTCGGCCTGCAAGCCTGAAACGTAGTGATGCCAGCGCCTGAAACCAAGGCGCTACTATGGAAGCCTAGAGAATTACCAGTATCATTCCACAGGGTTCTTAGGGTTCTTTACGGTTCTTTATTATGGTTTAGGGTTTAGGGTTTATGGTTTAGGGTTTAGGGTTTAGGTCCGTAGGGTTCTTTATTGCCACTATACTACAGAGGAGCCCAAAACCCTACTTTAATTCTTAAGGCTCCTACATTACACCCGAAACCCTGGGCCCTAAACTCTGAAGTCCGGTGCACAACTGGGCTCCGTTAGCTGAAAGTCGCTTCTTCGCCTCAGCTGCAAAGATGAAGGCAAGAAACCATAGATAACTGTAGTAAGACTGCCGCAAAGCCCTTTTCCAAGTATTTAGGCTTCTATCGAACTTGACGGAAGATTGGGTCTTGAAGGAAGTCATAATGCGAGTGGACATTGTCTTGGAAACAGCACCTGCTTTCAAAATGTCGGTTACCGTGGAAGTCGGACTGCTCAGCGGCAGAACGGCTACCGTGCGAGCCGGCTTAGATGATGAGGTCAAGGTCTTAACGTGCCGAGCACAGACCGTCTTCGGAGTCGGGAAAGGGCGGCTCCTGGACTCATCCGGAAATGCTCTAGATCCGCATCTGCCAATCAGGAAAGCCAGAGTTCAGACTGGCGACTCGCTCACATTGCACATAAATCAAATTCAACTTCAACATGCTGGAGAAACTGACGACGGCGCATTTGCTGCCATTCTTGGCGATGGAACTGTTGCGACCTGGGGTCATTATAGGCTTGGTGGTGACAATAGTGCCGTGCAGGATCAGCTGAAGGATGTGCAGCAGATCCAAGCCTCTAGCGGCGCTTTTGCTGCCATTCTTGGCGATGGATCTGTCGTGACATGGGGTGATGCTAACTTTGGTGGTGACAGTACTGCTGTGCAGCATCAGCTGAAGAATGTGCGGCAGATCCAAGCCTCTGACGGCGCTTTTGCTGCCATTATTGGCG